TGGCTCTGGTCACAGGGAGAGCACAGAACTGGAGAAGAAGGGGCTGGGGTAAGGGTCTGTGAACGCCGAGTTAGCAAATTTTATCCAGACTCAACTTTGAAGGGCTACGTATTTCCATTCTTAAGGACTCACTCCCAGTCCGTCTCTTGTCCTCATGGAAATGTTATAACATTATATGGCGGCCACCCTGTCTCTGTTGGCAGTGGCCCAAGGCCGTGAGAACCGGGCTGCCTACCATCAGTGTGTAACCATCCCTGATATGTGTCCTTCTGTGCTGTTAGCTAACTTCATCTCGCCTGCCTAGGATAATCAAGATTATGAGGCTTACATAGAACAACAGTTCTAGCACTTCGAAGGGTGACTTCTTCCCCCACCCCTGTCTCACAGGGATTCCCTGAGCGCTGATTGAGAAAATGGAGCTATTTTATTTTATTTTAAGATTGTATTTATTTATTTGAGAGAGAGAGAGAGAGAGAGAGCGAGCATGAGGAGGGGGAGGGGGAGAGGGAGAAGCAGGCTTCCCGCTGAGCAGGGAGCCCGATGTGGGGCTCGATCCCAGGACCCTGGGATCATGACCCGAGAGCTGAAGGCAGATGCTCAATTGACTGAGCCACCCAGGTGCCCCTAAAATGGAGCTATTTTAATAATGACTCCTGAACTACCCACAGAAGTGCCTCAAAGGGAATCCAAAACATTTCACAGAATACCATGTTGTGTTCTCAGTTTAATTCAGGAAATATGTCCTGAGCACGTTTGCCTCTGGCCTTTGTGGGAGATCACATGTGTGTGCAGAGGGGGGAGAATCAAAAGCATTGGGAGTCACTCATTTGGGGAACCCTCCAATTTAGTGAGTAGGAAAAGGCCGTGTGTGCCCGAAGTGAGAGGCGGTCAGGAAGTACCCACTGGAGCTCCTGGGGAGAGCGCGGGGCAGGGTGTCGTGAAGGGGCGCTCTGGGGAGCTGCGGGGCTGGGGGCAAGAGCCACACTGGAGGGGGCAGAAGGGGACGTGCGGGCCTGAGCGGGCCTGCAAGAGCGAAGCGGCTGCTGATGGCGTGTGGCAAGATGTTGGTGGGAAACAGATCAGAGGTCTCCTATTCCCCTGTAGAGACCTAGAATCTGGCCGTGTAGACACTTAGCTTCGGTCGACTGCACACAGGCTGCCAGCTGGATTTATTTACTACGGCAGGATTTGGCACGGGGTGTTGGTGCTTCCCCTCGGTGCTGCTAGGACCAAGGACATTGAGTCCGGTCATTTGGTGAGGGAGGCCGGGCCCAGCAGACCCAGCCGTCCACAGGCAGCCCCATTCCAGAGTCTCGGCCGGGTTCCCGGGCCCCGCGCTGCCTCGGCCCGTGTCGCCATCTGGCAGGTCTCCGTGTTTGGGTGGCTAGGGCTGTCCCTAACAAAATACCACAGACCGGGGGGCTTAGCACCACAGACGCACCTCTCCCGGTTCTGGCGACTGGAAGTCCCGGGTGCTGGGGGAGGCTGGGCTGGTCTCTCCCAAGGCCTCTCTCCTGGGCTTGCTCGCTGGGTGTGTGCTCACATGTGTGTGTCCAGTCTTCCTTTCATACAAGGACACTGGCTGGATTGGATACTGTGATGGACTCGTTTTCACTTAATCACCTCTCTAAAGGCCCTACCTCCAAATACGGTTGCGATCTGAAGTCCTGGTGCTTAGGGCTGCAACATAGGACTCTGGGGGGTTGGGGGGGCACAATTCAGTCTGTAAGAGTCTCTTCCCAGATGCCCTTTGATTTTAGGACCTCCAGGGCCCAATTCTGTTCTACTCGCTCTCTTCCTCTTCTGATGCTTGGCCCCCTGGAGTCCTGTGATCTCCCCGGGAGGAGGGTAGGCGCCTTGGGGGCTGGGGGAGTGGTGTCTGCAGTGCAGCCCTCGGACCTAGGCCCCCCACTTTAGGGACCACTCCTCCGGCTTTCCTCTGGCTGTGTCCTCCCTGATGAGATGTCTGTGGGATCAAGGGGACATACCCACCTTCCCCTTCTCTTCCAGTCACACTCTGAGTATCTAGAACCCCAAAATTCCCTGCCCAGCTGGCTGCCAGCCTCCCTCTAAGGGGAGGATGTGGGGGAGGGTCAGGGAGGTGGGGCTTAGGTTGTCCACACTCCACAGGTAAGGCACTTGGTGGTATAGGAACAGGGAGAAGGTAGGAAGAGAAAAGTGGTGGGCCGGGAGCTGGAGGGGGCTGCCCTGCAGAGCCTCCCCACCATGTGTTCTTACCCCTGAGGGAATGGGGGGGATGGGCCTGAGTGTCTGGAGGCCAAAGCTGATGATGACTTCAGTGTAACCAAGTTTAATTCTTTGGTTACCTCCCCCAGCGCGCGCATACACACACACACACACACACACACACACACAGCATCGTTCTGGCTTCTTGGCTCAGCCAGAGCTATCCCGCGGTTCACAAGTGTAAGTATCCAGCCCCTTGGAGTATCTTTGGGGTCACGAGGGCAGTGTTAACCCTCCTCTGTCCTTCACGGTCTGGACACTGTTGCTCAATGCTTCAGACTCCATCCAGGGGCAAGCACTGACTCTGGAAGGGATTCCCCTGAGGTGACGGAGGTGAAGTGGGTTGTAACTTGCTTTAATTGGCTTTGGGGCCTGTGAGGCAGCCCCCTTAGGATTCAGATGCAGGAAGATGATTGTTGGAGACAACTGGGAACACTTTCTGGCCGCTGTGCAGCCTGTGCTTCTTGAGACAGGAAGAGTCAGACCTAAGGAAAAGCAACTTTTAAAAACAATGGAAGATGAAGGAAGTGTAATCTGGAAGGCCAGACATACACGTTATCATTCTGTTCCTAATTCTGCTGTCTTGTACTTCTTGTTACATTCAGGGCCCTAAGTTACATTTTTTTAAAAAGGTTTTTAAGAGTGTAGATAAACTACGAAGGTTTTTGCCATCTTGATTTTGGATTTCCCTGTGGCCTCCATCCAGTACGTGCTGTGCAGTTAAGGCTGACAAAGGAAGGTTCTGGCTGCTGTGGTCTCCGAGGAGGTTTGCAGGTCCCCGCAGGGACGGAGCTGGGCTGTGCCTTGTAGGTCTGGGAGGTTGACTTCCTCGGGGCATCCGGAGTCATCAGGCTGGAGGGCCTGATGCACACGGCTTGGAGGCTCCGGAGTGGTTCATGGATCAAACAGAAGGCCAGTTGATTCCTTTTAAAATTCCAGCGAGGATGGACATGGCAGCTGGTCAATACGCTTCTGTTTCAGTGGAAGAGTTTATTTGGTAAATTCAAGTACAACCAGGCAGTAACTGTTGCGGGGGGTGGGGTGGGGGTGGGGAGGCATTGATTCAGAGCAAATGGAATCGGATACTGAGGAAACTGCCGCCATGTCCCCTCTGGCGACCTGCTTGATGGAGCACCCTCACCCTTGGCCAGTGCTGACGACACGTGGACAACCCCTCCTTCCTATCTCCACCCTTAACAGGTCACGATTAAGAATCACAATTAACACATATTATTAATCTTGTAGTGACCTATTGGGACATTTCAGAAACCCTCTGGTCATACTCATGGAGGTAGAAGGACCTTAGAAGACACTGTGTCCAACCCACCCTTCCTCATTAGCCAGAGGAGGAAATGAGACCCAGAGAGGTGAAGTAACTTACCCAGGGTCACACAGCAAGCAGGCTCAAACCCAAGTCTCCTGAATGCAAGTCTAGGCAACGTGTTGTGGTAAAATGAGGTAGCGTGAGGAAATAAAAAGACCGCACTCTTCAGGTTCATACAGACCTGAGTGGGTTCGTTCCGTCCCTGCCACTTAGCGGCAATAATAGAGACAGTGATGTTTATTGGGCTCTGACTGTACCAGGCACTTCCTAAGGGCTTTCTAGCTATTGCTACATTTGGTTCTCACAACAATCCTATAAGGCGCTGTTATCTCCATTTTACCAAGGGGGAAACTGAGGCACGGAGCAATGAAGTCACTTGTTCATGGTCATATTATAAAGAGTAGATACAGGCCCTCAAACTGCAGAACCTGTATTCTTAGCCACTATGCTTAAGTGCATGAGTATCCGAGGAGAATTTTCCTTGTCTGTAAAATAAGGTCAATAAAAGTTTCTTGTAGGTTGTTGATGGATTAAAGATAATGTCCAAAACATGTCTCATACCTAATGGGCACTTAATATTTTATTTTTTTGGTATTTATCATTGCCATTCCCCAACCTTTGCCAAAGTTCTGGAAGCTCCTTGGTCCTGTGGCGCTCAGTGTGTGTGCTCTGATCAGCAGCACGAGCACCTGGTTTCTTGTTAGAAATGGAAATTCTCAGGTCCCCCCCCAGACCTACTGCATCAGCCCGCAGGGAGGGGAGACAGGGAGCAATCTATGGAGCAACCCTCTAGGTAATTCTGGGGCATGCGAAAGTTCCAGACCACGGCCCTCATCTTACCACTAATACCCCTAGTAATTACTTGCAGTGACCATGAGCTATGCCCTGAGTTGGTGCTTCTGAGTGTCCATTTTAAACTCCACCTTTCCCCAGCCTGTGGGCTTCCACTGTATTTTTTCATTTCATATTGCATTTATCTCTCTCTTGTGGGAACCTGTTTGCAAACGGATTTGAGCTGACCATGGCACCTTTTAGGATTGTCCTTCCCAATGCTGTGCTGGGAGAGGATTCGAGAGTCTGGGCGGGCTACGGATGCTGGAGAGTACGGTCCACATTGCCCTGGGTTGAGTTCCTCCTCCTGTGAATCTCAGCATCTTCGTGCCTTATTTTCCCCATCTGTACATCAGATATGTGAAAAGCCAGCTGCCCTTTTTAATGTCAAAGTTTTGTTTTGAAATAATAGATAGGAAGGCTCTTGGAGAAGTATATTTATTGCAAAATAAAGTATTATTAATACAGTCTCTCTTTTTTTCCCTTGGTAGATATTTTAAGATTCAGAAATACTTCATTTTTGGCCCCTTCTCTTTCTCTCTTTACAATAAATTCTTCCTCCTCAACTGGCGTGGGTGTGGCTAGATGCGCTACTGGAATGTTCCCCTTTGACACCTTCGTTGCCGTGTGTCTGTGAGTATGGGCATCTGGGGTCCCTGGTTGGGATGTGTATGTCGGGGCTATGTTATCAACTTCCCTCCACCAACAACGCATAGTCCATTAATTTTCATTCCTGAGTGATGTCTGGCCAACGTTTCATGGGAGATCACCGTGTACCTTAAACAAGAAAATTCGGAGATGTTCAAGAGGAAGGCTGACCACACCCACATGTGATTGAGTTTCAGAGTCACTGAGAAATGTGTCCTGTCCGGAAATAGTCCTGTTCCTGTCGTGTGACCTCTGAAGATTAATTTCTTTTATTTGAGGCAAGACTTCTCCCACAAACACCTCAGCAATCCTGCCTGTTACTTTTTGTTTGCATCATGCATTGGTCCTCCAGACAAACTAATAGAATTGCTGGCCTGTAGCTGGGATAATTGATAAGAGGCTTTCCTGGAAACCTCATTTATATAACTGCCCCCCTGGGAGATGTCCATGTCTTTACCGCCACCCCGTCACCCGCATCAAAGGCTACCTTTATAAAAACGAGTACCAATTTGATCGATTAAATAAATTGGTTTAATGAACATTTTAAAAAATTGGTAACAAGGAGTTCTTTCCCCCAAGTTTAGATGCCATTCCTACTTTTCACTCCTGTTTCTATGCATGTGTGTGAGTTGGGTTCTTATTCATTTTGAAACTATATAATTCAGGTGAAAGATATGAATCCTTAGTCATATCAGCTGCAAGTGTCTTCCTCAGTGTTTGGGTGGCTTCTGTTTATTTATTTATTTACTTATTTATTTATTTATTTATTACAATTAGAGTAAGGAATTTAGTGAAATCCATTCATCTTTGCTTTCATCATTTCTTTCATTATTTATTCTAGAACGCCACTCCCACCCCTTAAAACTGTTCGATATTTATCTGTATTTTAGTCGGGGGCTTGAGTGGTCTGTTTTTCCCTGGCCCTTTTCTCTCATGTTCCCGTGGCACTGATGTGACGTGGGCCTTGGTGAAACCTGTCTTCTTCCTGCAGGTGCCTCACCTTGCTGGGCATCTTCCTGCCCCTGGCCGGGACTGTCTACGTGGCATTCAGTGGGAGGGGGTCCGACGACGGGGTGCCACCCGCCGCTCCGGTCCCTGACGGGAGTCTGCCTTTGACAGAGACACAGAGGACTGAACTGAGAAGCAGAGCGGGTTGCCCGGCCCATCTCTCACTATCAGGAACCCCAAGCAGAGGAAAAAGTAGGCATTTTAAGAAACTAAGACCACTCCCAAGAGGTGACTCAGATGAGTCGTAGTTGGGAAATAAATCCTACGGTGCTGGAATCTGGTGAATGCCCCACGGCTTCTAAATGCCAGTGTGGAGGTTGGGTCTCTGCTCTTTACAATTCGGTCTTTGTTTGCTATCGGAGTGTTAAGGCGAGGTCGCTGAAAATGCTGCTTTCTTTCTGGGGTACAATTATCCAGTGTGTCTTTGTGCTACCCAATGACTAGGTCAGAACAGAGCTTGGGTTTCACTGGAGTAATCCTTTAGAGAACAATTACATGATCCCAGTGTCTATTTTCAGTGTTGCAGCTACGCAGATGACTCACAGAACCCTCCTGGCATCACTAAGGTAAAGGATCTACGTATAAATCGAAGCCAGGGAGTAAGTGTGCAACTGGCTTAAAGGCTGGCGGAGGGTAGCTGAGCCAGAGCGAGATAACCCACTTAGTGAAGGGAGAGGAGGACAGCAGTTAGCGGTTGGTCACCTTGTGTTGTGTTTCAGTGACAAGTCAAGAGCATTTCCTTCATTTCTGCCTGCCCATATGGCAAGGCAAAGACACCCCCCCACACACACACTCTGAAACAAGAATAGTGTCCTCGTGCAAAGACCTTTAGGACGTGGGGAATCATGTTCAGCAGAGCCCCTGCAGGTGCACATAATTGGCCTTCCCTTCTTCCAACTAAGGGGATAAAAATTAAGACACGATTTCAATGAATGGTCCAAAAGATTATGAGTATGTGATCAAGTAGCTTCGGGGAGTATGTCCCCTGTGGAGGGCACAGTGATGATTTTATCCGATCCCGTTTGGGATCTTCAGGCAAAACCAAAAACAAAGGTACCACCACCACAAACTCCCAACAGCAAGGAAAGCAACACAAAGCATGTTTGTGTTAGGATGATGTAACAGAAGAGCCGAGAACGCTCGCCCTCCTTCCCAAGTCAGAAGGCGGTCCCTCTGCACCCACGGTCATCCTTGTGGGAAGCGTTCATTGTTAGGCTCCTGCACGGAGTCAGTCCCTGCTGCTCTGTGATTTCTGCTCACAGGCCCTCGTTTGGCCCTTTGACTTAGTCTCTTGTTTCAATTCCTCCACATCAGAGACTGGGGACCAGTTATGATGGGCTCCCCCAAATCTCAGAGCCCATCAGTGTCTCCTCATGTGATGTGGTTCAAGAACTCGGCTCCCCGGCTGCCACATAGAAGGTTCCATGGGCATGGCAGAAAGAGCCCATGCTTAGCGATCCCTGGTCAAACCTGCCTTGGTTTCTAACTCTGCCCTTGGTCAGGTTGTCTGACACTAGGAAACTCAGTCTCCACCTGCGTAAAATGGGGGCATACCAATGGGATTTGTTGAGGGAATTAAATGAGATAATGTGAACTGTCCTCCTGATTTGTTGCTCTTTTCCTCATTCTCTTCCCTTAAGCCAGAAGCGGGAAAGGGGAGCAACTTTAATTGGCCAAGCCCTCTGGCTAACACTGACCTTGCTGAGGTCAGCTGGGTTCCAGGCACCTGCCGCATGCTTCTAGTTATCAGACGGAGGGTGAGCCTGCAGTCCCCAAAATTTACCTTTGCCTATCACTAGTTGGAAGGCTGAGCTTCGGAGCTTGGCATTTTAAGGCCAGATCGCAGGATTTTAGGCAGACACACCTGGTAGGGAGTCAGCAATCAGCCACTGAAACATTAGGGTTTTGGCCCAAAATAAGACTCTCTATGATCAGGATACGAAGGTTATGTTAGCTTTTTCAGCAGCTACACTTAAGTGTGGCTTCAGAAAGGTGTATGGGGTGGGGGGGTTCCATGTTCTGTTGCTGTAGCAATTTTTTTGTATTTAATACCATCAGAGTAAAATATCACATCCTGGGTGGTTGGAAATAAAAATCGACATGGAGAGAGCCCCAGGGTCAGCATCGTTTTTCCTTTCCACTTTTCCACTCACCAGTGAGTCAAATCAACTTAAGACTACCATGTCTTTTAGAAGTTTAGAGCCAAATTGGGTATTTCAGATCCCTGGTTCTTTATCCTCCAAATAATCATTGCATTCGCTCAGAGCGGTTTCCTGTTACACGAGCCTGTCCTTTCCTACTTAGATGAGAAAAATACGAGCGCACGCTTGAGGAAGTTTCCATGAACTAAATAGCTGTGGATTTCAGCCCCTGGAAGTCAGGGCTCTTAATCTGTGTTTGGTTACTTGAAGTGAGCTCACAGTAATAATCACTGAGAAAATCCAAAGGGGCCGCAAGGTTTTCCAAAGCGCTGTCACACCCTGTGGTTCTCCAACTTCGGTGAGCCTCAGAAGCACCTGGAGGGCTTGTCACAGCCCAGGTTGCTGGTCCTGACCCTCAAAGATTCTGAGGGGGTAGGTCTGGCGTGGGGCCTGGGACTGTGCCTTTCTAACAGTTCCCGGGTGATGCTGAAGCTGCTGGGCTGGGGGCCCCCCCTTTGAGGACCGCTGACCACATGCGTCATTTCAACCGATCCTCCCCATGCCCCTTCGGCTTCTCCTTTCCATGTACAAATGAGTACAAGGGGCTCAGAGAGGCTGTCCTCCCCAAAGACCAGTTATTTTCAGACAGTGTTACAAGCTGCTACTAGTTAAGTTCACCCACAAGCAGAATTTAGCTGGAAAAAAAAATCAAATGGTAGCAAAATGTATTCAGTACTCGCTTGCCAAGGTAGGCGTCAGGCCAGATGTTTGACAAATGTGCTCAAAGGCTCACAAGAGCCCTGCCAAAAAGCCTGCTCAGTTTAAAAAGTGAGGGAAGAGGTCCTGAGAGGTGGAAGAGCGGGTGAAACTGGGCAGAGCCCGGGGCCGTATCTCTCCACAGGGGCACGTGGCTCCTCGGGACCCGAGGGGGCTGGGACTCAGGATGTAGGACACGGCAGATTGTGCCGTGCCAAGTGCTGGTGAGTGAAAATCCCTCTGTCAGGGTGAGCTCCGTGCCTTCAGGCAGGCACACTGGAGAGTGACTCCAAGGGAAAGACTCCTATTTAAAGTTGGAGCCTCAAAAAGTTTGGCAATTACATTCTCCCATTTAAGAAACTGAGTTAGAGTTCCAGCACCTGGTTATAAGCCAGATCTCATTTGTAAATAAGTCTCAATTCTGCAACCTTGCACCTGCAATGTGTAAGCACCAAGCCACATCCAAGAGAAAGCATGAGTCCCTCGGAGCGGCTTGAGCCTTCCTTTGGAGGTTCCCGGTTCACAATTCCAGCTAAGTGAGTCCAATTAAAATTTTTTAGAAATTAGAAGGAATAAGTTAAGTGGAAGGGATTACAGCAATAGGGCTTAACGAGTGAGTAGATCAGCTGTTATGTCATCTCATTGGTTCTTCATGCGAATCCTAAGATTGTAAGATCTACTTTGATTTCCGTTTCAGTAGATGTAGAAACACAGGCACAGAGAAGTTAACTCACTTGCCAGAGGACAGCCAGCTTCAGAGCCAGGAGCATCTACCTAGAGGGCCAGCCTCCTTAACTGCTGTGCTACGTGCCCCTCTGTTTTCATCCCTGTACTTGACAGCTAGGGATGTGGTTTGCAAGTAGTTCAGTCTTGGGAGGACAGAAGGAATGCCATTCCAGGTGGAATGCTGGCTTTATGGAGCATGTGGTTTCTGAATGATGTCTAAGACTGCCCCCCCCTTTGTAAAACAGGACTGGGGTCAGGGGTTGGCATCCCTGGGGCCCGAGCTTGGACAGTGTATTCTGGGCACCGACCTCAGGGCACACGTGTTAGGGCAAGTCAAGGTTTACAGCGGAGGGAGACCCCATCCGAAGGTGCACAGATAGATCAAGAGGGGACCGTGGAGAACTGGGTTGAGCAGTCCAGGGTCACGGCAAAGGAGTGTCTGTGTGACAACCGAGATCACCCACGGTGTGTGTGTTTTGACTCATTTGTGAGGCAGCGTGTGGATTGATCTGGCTTTCAGGGTGGACGGTAACACCTGCTCTCTTGTCCAGGATTTTTAGGAGCCGTGGAGCATGCTCTGACATGCTTTTCTTGGCAGAAGAATGTGCCGGCCGTCTGGATAATAGAGACGCCAGGGAGCCCATGCTCTGTGCTGAACGGCATCCGGGTTCTGAGTCTCCTCTGGATCATGTCGGGGCACACCAGTCAGATGACTGCATGGCTGTCTTTGGGTGAGGAGAACCGATGAGTCCTTCTGAGCAGTTGAGGAAGAGAGCTTTCCCGTGAGGGGAGCCTGTTGGGCCAGGGGGTGTGAGGCTGCAGCCTTCCTTCTCTTTCAGAGACATAGCCATGACCCCGCCACAAGTGGCTTTCCCAGGCCAGTGCCCAGCAGTTGCTTTACTTCCTCCTGGGTGTGAATCAGGCCCCTATGAGCAGGTGAACAGTGATATACCTGAGGATGGCATATTCCTTGTCCAAAGAGCTGGATTCCTCCTGGTAATGATGAATGAATCCAGAAACTAACGTTTCTTTCTCCTGGAAAAATAGTGAAGCGTAAATAAATATTGTGCACTGGTGTTAAATTAGTGTTTCTCAGCCTTCTGCCTGTGGCCTCAGGCCACCGCCAGAAGGGGCCAGACTGGGGGGGGGTTTGAAGAAGCCCCCCAGCGATCTGCACCAGCCCATGGCGGCAGGGTGATGCTGCCGAGCCCCCGAGCTGTGGGCGCTGGGAGGGTACGAAGCAGCTCAAAGCCTTGGTTACGGGTCCATGGTAGGCACTATTGGGTGCCTTTGCCACCATTTCTTAAGTCGATCTACCTTCTCCTCTCAAGTTGTGGGGCTGCACGACATCCTCTTGATGCTATGAAAGTTGAAGGCGGTTCCTCTTGCTTGTTCTGAAAACCTAAATCACAGGACTTTCTGCTGGGAAACAAAAAGACACCGGTTTCATGTTTGTTGCAGATAATGTGCTCGAGTGGAAAACCAGAGTGCCTAAAAACCCACTGTACCTTTGTTCTCGGAGCGGCCCGTTCTATCTTGGGGTTGACACATTCTTCTTGGTCAGGTAATATGGTGTTTTCTCTGCTGTTGTGCATGTGTTTGTCTGGGGATGTGTGCGTGTGTGTGAGATGCCGTCATCACTTTAGTGAGAAATACTGAATGGCTTCATTGATTTACTCCCTTGACCTTTGCTTCTGTCCGACAGTAGATAGTACTGTTGTCATCAGCTCCTCTCTTCTGTATCTTCAGTTTGTTAAATGAGGTAGGATGGCTTCTAAAATTTTTAAGATTTTATTAATTTATTCGAGAGAGAAAGCGTGAGCTAGAGAGTGAGAAAGAGCATGAACAGGGGGGAGGGGCAGAGGAAGAAGCAGGCTCCCTGCTGAGCAGGGAGCCCCATGTGGGGCTCGATCGCGGGACCCCGAGATCACAACCTGAGCCGAAGGCAGATGCTCAATCGACTGAGCCACCCAGGCGCCCCTCTAATTTTTTTTTTTTTTTACAAAAGGTGATTTTATCTGAATCAAAGTTGTTTATTTCAGTGGTTCTCAAATTCTGGCCTATGGACTGATGCAAATCTGTGATAAAGTTGCCAGTTCTCACTAGAGTGAAATGTGAACAAATCTGAAAATGGTGTGACGTTTCAGAAAGCTTTCTTTATTTAAATGAACTACTAAGAGGTACATTTTCTTAATTGTGTGATAAACGTCAGGCACTGTGTTAAGTGCTGCAGCATTACCTCACTTAATCCTAACGATGTCCCCCTAACAGGGGACCACAAAATCCCCATTTTCTTCCTTTTTTGTTGCCAAGGTGAAATTCATGTATCATAAAATTAAGCCCCTCGAGTGAACAATTCAGTGGCATTTAGTACAGTTCCAGGATTGTGCAACCACCACTTCTACCTAGTTCCAAAACGTGTTCAGCATCCTCAAAGGAGATCTCGTACCCATTAAGCGGATCTTCCCCACTCCCCCACCCCCCAGTTCCCAGAAATCTGCTCTCTGAACCTCTGGATTTACCTCTTCCAGCTATTTCGTATAAATGGGCCACACAGCGTCTGGCCTTTTTGTGTCTGTTTCTTTCACTTAGCGTGATGTTTCTGAGGCTCACGCACGTTGTGGCACAGTTCAGTACTTCATTTCTTTTTATGACCGAGTAAGATTCCATTGTATGGATGGACTACAAAATCTCTACTTTAAAGGTAACTGAGGGAGATAGTCCTGGTGCTGACTGGCTACCCAAACCCAGGCAAGCTGACTCTGGAGTCCGTGTTCTCTGTCACTGTGTGGCCCTGCCTCTACCTCTTTTGGGTTAAATGTCTCTTCCTTCACAGAGAGATGGTGACAGTAGACGGCACTTGCTTCCGTCAAATGCTAGGCATTCATCCATCCAACCATCATCTACTGAATACCTGTTCGTTCTAGGCCCTGAGGATACAACCATGGATAAAACAAAGGAGGACTTCTTGTGGTCCTAAGACTGTGTGTGTGTGTGTGTGTGTGTGTGTGTGTGCAGCAATAAGCAAACAAACAAGAAAAAATGCGGTAGTAATAAATACTAGGAAAGAATAGAACAGTGGCTTGTGAGGGTGAGTGGGTACCTGTTTAGAGTCGTCGGAGAAGTCTTGTCTGTTGAGGGGCTACTATTGGATCTGAGCGGCAAGAAGGAGCTGGCCATGGGAAAAATCCAGGACGGGAAAGCTTCAGGCAAACGGAGCCACTGGTGCAGACGAGCTAAGGGGAGAGAGAGACAGAGAGAGCGAGCACCCCGTTAAAGGAGCAGAAAGAAGGCTGAAGCACAGTGAAGGTGGGGAGCGAGGGAGGCGAGGAAGGAGAGTGAGCCACGCAGGGCCAGACCACAGAGGACCGTGGAGCGAGACTCAGGAATTTGGACTTCTGTCTCTGTGGAACAGGAAGTGGTTGAAGAGGTTTCATTTGAAAAGCAGCATCATCTGATATCTTATTTCATTTTTTATTATATTTTTAAAAAACATTTTATTTATTTATTTGACAGAGAGAGAGATAGTGAGAGCAGAAACACAAGCAGGGGGAGCAGGAGAGGGAGAAGCAGGCTCCGCCACTGAGCAGGGAGCCCGATGCGGGGCTTGATTCTGGGACCCTGACTGACCAGGGGTGGGCGGCGGCGGGGAGCTGCACAGATGGCAGGGTATGTGGGGGCGCTGCATGGCGGCTGGGGATCGGGAGAGGTCCCAGTCAAGAGAGGGGATCCGAGAACACGTCTACATTACATGCTGGGAACGACCAAAGAGGAGTGACATGGGGATGGATGCTCATTGTTGTTGGCCAGACAAGGGAGCAAGCTCTGATTAGTGCCTCCTAGTTTTTTTCCATTTTAAAGTCTATGACATGCCAAAGCGTACGAACCATCGAACCACCAGATTAGGAGAGAGAACCAGCTCACAAACAGAAGCAACAGGAGGCTGGGCATGGCCATCATGCCTGCGGCACTTCCTTCCCTGAGCCGCTGTGGCTCGCCCCCTCTCCTTCAGGCGCTTGCTCAAATGCTGCCTTCCCCCCGCACCGTGCTGGTGCCCCCTGTTTAAGATGGACCCACTGGCGCTCTTAAATTCCTTTTTCTTGATTTATCTTTTCTCTTTATCTAACATACCTAGAGATGCCACTTACTTATTATTTCTGTATTTATTGTCCTTGTCTCTCCACTGGAATATAAGGCAGGACTTTCTTCTGTTTCGTGTCCTGCTGTCATGCTGAAAACAGTGCCAAGAGTATAGTATTGCTCAATAAGTACTTGTTGAAATGATTTCTTTCTTTCTTTCTTATTTATTTATTTATTTTTTTGGAAATGGTTTCTTAATTGTTTTAGCTCAAGCCTCTGGTGTGATAGTTTCTTGGGGGAATGCAGAGAAAGTAGGGTACAGAATGAGCTGAGACCTGGCCGCCAGGGCAGAGCTCATGCTAGGAGGTGGCCAGGGTGACTGTCGAGTGGCCCAGACAGGCGAGGGTCAGAGGCCACCGTCTGCAGTAATATGGGATCCAGGAGGTACCAGACTTTCCAAGAAGGCACAGCTGGGCCTAACCCAGGCAGGCGAAGCCCAGCTGCGGGAGACCTGGGCCGGCCCCTGGTGAGTGGGGAGGTCTGCCCAGGGGACAGCATTCAAAGTCCAGAACTCTGTTCCCTGCAAGAGGACTAGTAAGAACAAGGCAAAAGAAAAACAACAACAAAAAAAAGACACCAAATGCTGGACGGGGCTGACTGGCAGAGCTCCAAACTGTGGGAGGGAAGCTGGCAAGGCCAGATCAGGATTCTGGAACCCGAGCCAAAACGCAGGCTGGAGGATTGCCACCAGGAGGGAAGAATGAAGGCCTGAAGAGCCACTGGTCATGCCTGGACTCATGTGTGAATCTCTGAGACAACAGGGATGCCACCAGGTCAGTCCTGAGATACCCACAACACAGGCCAAGGCTATGAAATTTCCGATGTCCAAGAAAACGACAAATACCCGCCCCTTTATAGTAAAGACTACATATCTAACCCCAGGCTCACTCTGGGGCCTGGGGAGTGCCGGGCCTCTTATCAGTGGTTCTCAGAGTCTAGTCCCAATGCAGTTGTACTAGCCTCGTCTGGAAGGTTGTTAGAAATGCAGATTCCCAGGCCCACTGAATCGTAGAATCCTTGGGGTGCCGTCACCTCCTGCTAGAGTCCGTGGACCACTGCATGAGCTGAGCAGGGTGGAGTGGAAGCGAGCAGCTCCTAACCCGGCCTAAGAGACCAAGACATCCGTCTCTCTTCTCTTTACCCCTGTTTGCTTCTATTTCTCATTGCCTGTCTCAGTAACTGTTTTCTTCTCCCCCAGCATTCATTTTGTTTACTTTAGAAAGTGCCCATTGGGGGACCAGGGTGGCTTGGTCGGAAGAGCAGTCGACTCTTGATCTTGGGGTCGTCGGTTCGAGCCCCACATGGGGAGTAGAAAGGACTTAAATAAATAAAAAAGAAAAGAAAGAGAAAAGAAAGTGCACATATTCTCTTAAATAAAGTTTTCACTTGGACAATGGAAATATTACTAAGTGATGCTTAGTATCGCCGTCGTGCTAAGAGCCTACAATCTTTTATTCCATATACAATAAACCCAGGAAGTTAGAACGAATATCATGCCCTTTATTATAGCTGGGAAAGTTGATGTGCAAAGATGAAATAACTTGCCTCAGTCTCCCCCCCAGCTAGGAAAGTTGGAATTAGAACTGAAACATAATGTTTGTTTCGGGCCCAAAGCCTGTCTCACTCACCACGTCACTCATATTTTACATAGTAAAGCCAAAGACCCCTGACTATCGCTGGGGATGGTCGGGGATCCCTTTCTACCTCTCTGGCTGACTCCATGCAACTCTACGGCAGGACTGTACTCTTCCCCTGTGGGGGCAGGTCCCTGGGTCTTCCCAGCCTCCGATAGCGACTTCTCCTGCTCGAGGCCTGTTTTCCCTGCCACCTTTGTCTTTGTCGTCCGGACCAACTGAACGGCAGGCAGGTGCATGCCCGCACACAGAGACAGACCCCGATTCATTCTTTCCTGAAATGAAGAGGAGGCCAGAACTGGAATTGGCTGTCTCACTTCCACATCTTCGTGCCTTTCTACACGCCTCTGTCAATTGTGTTCCTATTCTAGTGACTCCGACTTGCTGTGTTTCAAAAGAAAATCCGTGCTGGCAGAGAACAAAGACATTTTCTAACCCTCCCTGATCCCTTCCAACACACACACAACCTTCTTTTGCAATAGGAAATGCATTTGTTCCTTAGGGAAACACCCACAAGGATTATTGGCATCGAGGTCAAAGGGTCAGGAAACCCACTCCCAAATTGCTTATCATCAAGTTAGAACTCAGAGATGTAGCCTGATTCTTTAGCTGAGCATTCCGGGTAACAAACTTGTCATCAGGATATGTTGGTGGAGAATCTTAGGCAACCCACTGAGTCCTTGAGCTTCAGTATCCCTATTAGGTAAGCAGGGATGGTAACATCTTCCCTTTTACCAATCACTCGCTCAACAAACATTTATTGCAAAGGAGTCTGGTATTGCTCTAGAAGCAAAAGCAACACCATTAGCGAAAGTACTTTGGAAACGAGGTGGTACCATAGAAGTGGAAGGCTTTGGATTTTATTATTTCAAAAGGCTAATGTGGTAGCTCATAGAGTTGTTCACCAAATATTTCTGGCTCTCTTCCCTCCAGCCCCTTGGTAAGAGTCTACTTCCTGGCCCCGTGGTGGTTGGGTGGGAACTAGGTCGGGCCAATGAGGGGTACCTGGTGTTGCCAGTATGCTAAGAGCTTTAAACATGTCACTTCTGGGCTAGAGCATTTAATTGTTGGTTTGAAGCCCCCCAGCACGCTTTATTCTCTGCCAGGGTTGCTGGTGCTCTTTCAGAGAGTGGCTGCAAGCTCAGCCTGGGTCTCCTGGTGGGGAAGATGCTGAGCTCAAGGTGACTGGCCGTGGGCATGCAGCATAAGCAAGAAAGAAGACTATTATTGCTTTGGTGTTGGAGATAATCTTGTTCCTACAGTATCACTTACTGTACCCTGCTAGAGACCACCACGTTAATCATGCGATGAACTGTATCACGGATCAGTAATTCCTGTGACTTGTCTTCTCTCTCTCTCAGTGGCTGGTTAAGTGCAAGGTCGTTTTTAAAGATACATCAGAATTCAGATAAAGGAACAACCCTCAGTGTCATACTCAGGTACATCCTCAGCCGCCTTACAAGGTAGGTCTGTTTGTCTCATCTCTTAATTCATTATTGCTGTGTAATCATTTATTACTTGTTAGTTCTTAGCCCTCTTTTGAAACAATTTTCAAAGAAAAATAAACCGACAGACGTGGTTTTCTTCATAAAGTTGATTTTTGCTGACTTAATGGCTTTTGCCAGTAGAAAATACCAATTTTTGTGGCATTTATCCTAATAGAATTTGAACTATATTAAACCAGCAAAAACATCCTTTTCCTCAGCTGATGGGCAGCAGTTTTCAATAAATGTACTGTCAGGTTTCCCTGGAATGTGTATCCAACGGGAGAAGGTGCATGGCTCCTATAAATTGGTAGTAATTGGGTCCTGTAACTCAGAGTACTAAGGGTAACGATAAAAATAAAATAAGATATAATAAGGAGAGGGGCAGGTGATGCTTGAGACAATGGTGCTTCTGCTCAGAGGGAGGCGGGGAGGACATGGTCCTTGTTACAAACGTGTGGATGGTTGGGGCCGGAGGGGATACGGTTCTGGGACGGAGTATGGGGTCAGTGGGAGGGCAGACAGGTTGTGAGGCAATAAGACCCACACTCTGCTTAGGTAGAAGAGGAAATTTCAACTCACACAGCCCAACGTTCCTTTTGGACCTTCTCTAAACCATGGCTTGTTGCTGGCTGAACTGGAGCCAGCTCTCATCACTTAGGGTCCATGCCTCTTTTGTCACACTTCATTGTCACGGAACAGGAAGGAGGGTCTTGACATTTGGGCTTCTGGGCTAGTAAAATGGAGTGCGTAAGATCTGACTGTAGCTGGTCTGCCTGGTCTTGCTTTCTGGCTCAATCCTCTGCCAGCTATGTGACCCCAAGGAGGTGTCTCAACCTTTCTGCGCTTGAGTTTTCTCATCTCAGAAATGGGAAGAATAGTGGCACTCATGCCACTAGACTCTTGTGAAGATGAAATGAGAGAACATGTGCTAAGAGTAGAAACGTGTGTGACACGTAGTAAGCACAAGCTGCCATTATTAACTGTTGTTGCTTCTTACACCTTGTAACTTTTCTGGTAAATAGGTTAAGAATGAGTCTGAGCCAGGGAATAGACCTCTGCTGATGTCTTTTCGCCATGACCTTTGTGGTTTCTTCCAAACACTATTAAATCTAGCCCTTGTCCTGCCCGCTTGACAGAGTGCTTATTCTTTCAATATCTTCTGGGTAAATTGGCACTGGGGTTAGCCTATTCTACCCTGTGGTCTTCTGTAGAGGGACTGGTTTTAGTGAGAGATGCTGATGGGTTGTTAGGGGGTGGGGCATGGGATCCCATGGCTTGGTGGGTTCTGCCTGGGAAACCTGCTTCAGAAGAAAAGTCCTAGAGTGGGGGATTGAAGAGCGGGAAGTGTTTTAGCGGGAAGATAAAGCAGTAGTAGGGGCAGGAAGAGAGAGAGAGAGTGTGTGTGTGTGTGTATGTGTGTGTGTGTGAGGCCTTATGGGGCAAGATGGCTGCAAGGATCCCATGAATAAATTATTGCCATATCTGGGCAGGACAGCAGATTTGGACTGGTGATTGGCATTGGGAATGGAGAGATGGCAAATCAAGGACACTCAAATTTTCCAGCCTGAACGACATGGCGGATGGTGATAATGTTCTTGAGATAGGGAGCTCTGGGAAAGTGGCAGATTGAAGCCAGGAAGAGAGAGTCTAAAGTGGGACAAAACTTTGTTGAAAAATCAGAGGAAGCATCATCAATCGAGTTGGAACTCACTCTCTAAGGTAAACCCAGTGAGAAAGCAGCCATACTCCTAGCCACTTTGATGTTCTCATTCTTGTTGGCAAAACCCACTGTTATTACTCAGTTATAATTGATTGCTTGCCTCCTTACTTCCAAGCGGACTGGAAGTAAGATCATTTGTTCACTCACTCTTTCTGTATTTGTTGAGGGCCCCCTGTGTGCCAGACACTGTTGTAAGCTCTGGGGACTCAGCACTTAATAACCGTGCAAATGCCTTCTGGCCTGGGGGTTATGTTCTAGTGAATAGCGATAGACGATCAACAAATAAATATGCAACATTAAGCTGCAACATGCAAATACATTTCTAACAGGTCAGTGATGGTAAGTGTCACAAAGTGTTAATTGGAAGACGGAGGCACCATGCGGTCTTCCTCTGGAAGGGTCGTCAGGGGAGGTGACATTTGTCAAAGGAAATAAAATAAGGTTTTAGGCAAAGAGAATGCTGTGAGGGAAGAATGGCCTACATGGGGAGTGGGTGCAGAGAAGGGGACACTGTTGGTGTGTTTGGAAGACCACAGAGAGCCTGCTGGAGGGGAGGGAGCAGTTAACTTGGAGAACAGAAGGGAGTGAGTTCAGAGAGATGGGGCTGGAGCTCCATGGCCCCGCCTTAAGGACTTTCCATTTTATTTGGAGACCAGAAGGCTTTGGGGGATTCCCGGAGGGGAGTGGCATGGTCAGATTTACATTTTCCAAGAATCACTCTGAGAATAGACAGCAAGAGGACAAGGGCGAGAGTCAGGCGACAGCTGGGAGCTATCGTGGCTTTAAGCAAATGCGAAAACCCGGCTTCCAGGGGTCAAGCAGAACAAAGATCACGTAATGAGAAACAAGGGGAGTAGATGTTCCAGACCCTTAAAATTGTGTGATTATTCCAATCAGGAGCCACATTTTAAAAATCAGGAGGGTTTTTTTATAGGTAAAAAAATTACTGGTAAAAATGTCTGACTGTAAAACTAATGATGTAATGTATGGTGATTAACATAACATAATAAAAAAAAAGTCTAACTGTAACAGAAGGTTATACACTAAAAGTATGGGTACCCATTCCAGTCTCACTCCCACAGGACACCTTTGCTAACAGTTTCTTGTGAATTCTTGCAGATACTTTCCGTGTATTTATATGCATTAGGGTTTTTTTTTCCCCATGAATAGGATTATACTATATGCCGCACTATTTTGCATGTAGCTTTTTTGCACTTAATGATTAATGTTGGCATGTGTCTCTCTCTCTCTGCATGAAAGGACCCACCTCACTGACTTCAAAGGTTGCCTAGGACGGTGATGTGTGGGTGGATTATTAGGAGTTTAACCTGTCCCCATTAATGGGCATGGTGGTAGTTCCAAGTTTTTGCTATCTTAGACAAAGAATACAATGTCTACACATTTTTGTGCACTGTTGTGAACATGTTCGTGGATAAATTCCTACAAGTAGAATTGGTAGTTTGGTGCATCTAACATTTTGATGGACGTTTTCCAATTTACCTTCCTGCCCACCAGGTATGAGAATGCCTGCTTCTCACACCTCTTAAAACAGCCGAAGGTGTACTTCTTAATCTTTGAAAACCTTGACTTTAAACCTTCCAGAAGCTTGGACAAAAATGAACAGCATTTACATTTACCTGATGCTTTCGATGTTTCCCACTGTTTTCTTACTGATCTCATTTGGTTCTCAAAAAATCTTAGGAGGCAGGAATCATGAGCCTCCTTAAAATAAGGAATTATTATTCCCCCTTTTCCATAGAAGAGGGAAGAGGGAAGTTATATGATGTTCTCAGTATGAAAATTTAGATAAAACTAGAATGCCCGTCTCTAGCTTTGCTCCTCAAGGTGAGACCCACCCCAGCAGCCTCTGCCTCGCCCCCCGCGGGCCCCAACTCAGAGGCTGCGCTGGGGAGGATGAAGCCTGGACCCTGCTCCCTCCTGAGGGCATCTGACCTGAACTGTGGTTCTGAGGGGAGCAGGGGGTTGACTTACTCTCCCCGGGGAGGTGACAGATGGTGGGAAGGGAGGCTTGGGAGGCTTGTGGGAGCAGCTGCAGGGCAGCCTGGTCAGATGGCTAATGTGGCAGGGCCCAGGCCCAGGGAGGGCTCCATGGCTGTTGTCTGAGCTGATCGGGGGAGACACGTCTTGGCACCGTTGGCAGCCCTTTCTGTCTGACTGTGATCTGCAATTCCTGCCTGCTCTCTGCATGCCCGCAGCCCTCCAGCCTACCAGACACATGCTAGGAAGGATGTTATCATCGTGGGGAGGACGGGAGGCCAACAGGCCCAGGGCCCGTGCAGACCAGAGACTGGGTGCTGCCCGCCCCCTCCCCCCCCAGTCCTGCCCTTCCCATCTGTCACAGACCACCCCGCGCCCTGGTGCCCCCACTGAAATGTTCGGAGACGCTGCTGGGCCATGTGCTCTGCTCTGAATTTCTAAATGTGTTCTTTTAAAAGATGGCTGGGGTCCTAGCTCACCCAGAATCCATGCCAGGACCGTGTCCCTCTCCCCGCTACAACCTCATGTCTAAACTCGAGGCCAGTGAGGTCCCATAGGTAGCCACCCGACAGGTGGCCCACGGACGTGTGGACGAGTAGTAAATGTACACACCTGATTCGAAAGATGTAGTCAAAGAAGAAAGGATGTTAATCAGCTCACTAACTTTTTAGACTGATTACCTATTGAAATAACATTTTGGATACATTGAGCTCTCTAAGGGTTTTTAAATTATTTTAAAATTCATTGTAGCTGTTTCTTTCTTTTTTTTTTTTACGATTTTATTTATTTATTTGACAGACAGAGAGTGGGCACAAGCAGGGCGAGTGGCAGGCAGAGGGAGAAGCAGGCTCCCCACTGAGCAGGGAGACCCATGCAGGACTCGCTCCCAGGATGACAAACGTGGCTGCTAGAATGTATACACTAGGTGGCAGATGTGGCTCGAATTCTGTTTCTAAAGGACACCTGTGCCTTTTCCCCCATCATCTTTGTAGCTGCTTCAGGTCCTGCTTGGGACGAGGTAGGGTATGAAGGAAGGGAAGGAGAAATAAAGAACAGGAACCGATGTCTGATCTCAGCACTGCAGTAATGGCTGGGCCACCTTGGACAAATCGCCCACACTTAGAGCTGTAATTTCCCCATCAGTAAAATGGAGGTAGTATTTCCCTGAAGGAGTGTTTCGAGGTTTAGAAGTATCTGAGAAGCTCCTAGCACAGTGGTCAACATGCTCCACTTGCTCAATGACTAATAGTATTTTTGCATCCACAGCACCGGAGCTGGCTCAGGGTTGGGGGCTCATGATTTTTTACCTAGGAATGTAGGAGTGTTTGTGGTGTGGGCGGGGAGCCGGTCGCCCACCCAGTACAATCTGGTTTGGAGCATCTCTCTCGCTCGCTCGCCCAGGAGACTGAATGGAACCACTGTGGAGAGTCACCTTCTCTCCCCCGGCTCTCCCTGCCAGGTTGCAGCCTCTTCACCTGTACTCGGTGTGCCTGTTGGTTGGCTTGTTCTCCCTTGTTCCCTGGGGACCTGTCTGGGACATACCCAAGTTCCACCTGGATAACTGCCGGCAAGTGTGGTGGACAAATCTGCTGTTGCTCAATAATTTCCTGTCGGTCCGAAACGCGGTGAGTCCCCTGTTAGGGGCTAGCGACAGGCAGGTGGGCAGGGGCAAACGCCAGGTCTCCCTTCACGTGGTTTGGCGAACTTTCCAAGGGCCAACCCCAGTCTGATGCCCTTTCTTCTGGCATATTCTCTGGAGTAACAGCGAAGCCATAGTAAGGTGGGCTTCGGGCAGGGAGACTAGCCCCTTAGGATGGGTGAGCGTTACCAAACCAGTCCTGGCAGGGAGGGTTGCTGTGACAAGCAGAGGGAGGGAGTAGTGGGCATTGCCCACCGACCATCTAGGTGCCTGTCCCGGATGCAGCTGGCCTTGCCCCGTCAGGGTTCCTGTTCCAGCCCGTGTCACCCCATGGAGAAAGGACACTTTCTTCACCTCCACGCAGACAGCCTATAATTGGGATGGACCACTGCGCTGCACCTTCGCCATAATGAATTCTTCTCCATTTCAAGCCACAGCCTCTGTATATATGGGTGGTGGCTTCCCCAAAGCCCTCCTATCCTCATAATGACGTTGGAGTAAACGCAAGTGAAATTGCTGTAATTAAATCATGTCACTGACGTTTGCATATGCCTGGAAAGCAAGGCTGACAAGAGAATCGCTAAAGCGTGGCTAATCTCTGCGCGTAACTACTTACCAAGGGGGTGGCTGCCCTCCATTAGTCAGTGCCCGGCGGCTCGGACAGGGTGTCCATCACAGCCTAACCGCCTTCAGAGGGGCCCACGTCTGGGACAGGGCCCATGGAGGACAGGCTGGCCTGTTCGCCCAGATGCAGACTGGCTCGGGCCATGCAGGGGCAGCGGGGGGCCAAGGACACGAGCCAGCCGCCTCTTGGAGGCAAAGCCTGCCTTAGGTCCCCGAAAGCAGAAGTGTGAGGCCTGTCAGGCCTTGAGTGCTCACAGATTGGCCCATCACGGGAACTTCTTTCTAGCGGGGACAAGAAAGGATGTCACCTGCCCTGGATAAGTCTGGTGAGGGATTGGAGGCAACAAGGAGCCTTTTATCTCTGAAGCCCTGGAGAGAATTGCCCCAGGAATCTCCTGACATTGAAGAAGAAATACAGGTAACTGCCTCCTTCCACACAAAGGCGGACAGCCTCTGCAGCGAGGTGGCTCGGGCCAGAGGACCGCCTGTCAGGCTCACGTGGGAGCTCTGGGCCTTCCCAGAAAAGCTCGCCTGGAGCCAGGCCTCCAGTCTAAGTGAACACGCTCCTCCCCTGGAGGCCGGGAGGGCCGGCAAGGCAGGAAGGAGGGCACAACATGGACTCTGCCGGCACCAAAACGATGGTTGTTCCTTACATTCAGGTCATGGGATGGCACTGAGCTCCCACGAGGGTGCCGGGAGCTTAGCTCTTACTGCTTTTTTTCAACAAGCGAGAACACTTGCCCGCACTTCCATTTTGTAAGCGGGCAATAATAATCCCCACCACCCAGGCTTGTTCCCGGATTAAATGAGATGGGGTACCTGAAATACCTGTAACTCAGAATTCCTTTCTCTTCCCACGGAAATCCACCACCCGCCGCCCCACCCCCCAGCTGCTCAGTGAATTCCTCCTCCAGCTCCAGGAGGGTGAGCCAAAGTGGGGTGCCCCATGAGCGAGGGAAAAGGGTCACCTCTGCTCCTCTCGTTTCAGTGTAATGGCTGGACGTGGTACCTCGCCAACGACTTTCAGTTCCATCTCACCACACCGGCGATTTTCCTCATCCACGGAAAGTGAGTTTCCCCGGGACAGGGGTGTCTCCCCGGGACAGGGGTGTCTCCCTGTGGGGTGTCTCCCCGGGACAGGGGTCTCTCCCACGGAACTCTCAGCGAGCCCTGCAGTTCTGGGCACAGCAGCCTTTACAGTTTAGGAAACAAACTTTTCAGAACAGTCTGGACACCACATCCTCCACTGTTTACCTTCCTCCGCATCCTCCTCTGATCTTTGTCCCACTCGAATCCCCTGTGTTTTTGCAGAGTGGCAACCCGGGTGTATTAATATCCTGTCTCAGCTTTTTCCACTTAACGGTCTCTGTAAACATTGCCACATAGCGACATGATCTGCATACTTGTCAGTTTTCGGAGTAATAAACCATTTTTGTGGTTGGCCATCTAGGTTAGTTCCAGTTTGTCGTGACTCCAAATGACCCCTCGATGACTGTCTTTGAACATACTACGTTTCCACTCTTCTTCATTTCCGTGGGGCCCCATTTCAAGGTGGAATTACTAGGTCAGAGGGTAGGCACAATTTTGGGGTGCTTGTTACATATTGTGTGATTATACTCCAGAAAGAGGGAGGTAATTTACAGTGCCCCAAGCAATGCATCAGTGTACCTGTTCCCTACATCGGATATTTGCTACCTTAATTTTTGTTAGTTCTAGAAAAGCTTAAGGCCTCAATAATTCATGAGGAGACTTATAGCTTGTGGATTATCCATGCCATATTTTATTTTTTTAAATAATTTTTAAAATATTTTATTTATTTGAGAGAGAGAGTGAGACAGAGAGAGAGTGCAAGCAGGGGGAGTGGCAGGCAGAGGGAGCAGGAGAAGCAGACTCCCTGCTGAGCAGGGAGCCCGATGTGGGACTCGATCCCGGGACCCTGGGATCATGACCTGAGTTGAAAGCGGACGCTTAACCGACTGAGCCACCCAGGCGCCTCTCCATGCCATATTTTATTTTATTTTATTTATTTATTTTTTAAAGATTTTATTTATTTATTTATTCATGAGAGACAGAGAGAGAGAGAGAGAGAGAGAGAGAGAGGCAGAGGGAGAAGCAGGCTCCCAAGGAGCAGGGAGCCCGATGTGGGACTCGATCCCAGGACTCTGGGATCATGACCTGAGCCGAAGGCAGACGCTTAACCATCTGAGCCACCCAGGCGCCCTCCATGCCATATTTTAAAAGATGTTTCTTTTTTTGTTAAAATACATGTTCTATTTAAGAAACAGTGGAAGGTGATAGGATGAAGAGAGGGGAAAACCATCACCATCAACCCATCCCTCGCTCAAGGAGAAGTGAATTCCATGTTAATATCTTTGTGTTTATTTTTCCAGTGTTTTTTTCTGCATAGCTTTTTTTTTTTTATATGAAAGGATTCTGTATCTCCATGTTAGTATCTTTCTTTTAATAGTTTTTTGACATAAGCAATTTATTATATTATTTTACTTCTAAGTAAATATAATTTTAATGTGTGCATCACATTCCATTCCATGAATGAACTCTAGTTTACTTATACCTTCCCCTATTGTTAAATACTTGGATTATTTCTGATTTTATGCTTTTACAAATAAGAGTCTGATCAATATTTTCAGGGTAACCATTTGTCTCCAACTCTGATATTTCTCTAGAATGCATATCTTAAAGGGGAATTACTAGGTCAGAGAGCATGAATGTCTTCTAGGATCTTGAAGCATAATGACAAATTGCGTTCCTTAAAGGTCTATCAATATTCAGTCCTCTGGCCATCTAATTGCACTTTTGCCAACATGGAAAGTTAATAATAAAACAAAACAAAACACAAACCTCGTTATTTTGATATGTAAGAAAACATTCATTTTTCACATCTAACTTGCAAGTCTTCAATTACTAGGGATGCAGCTGAGTTCTAAATATGTGTTGACCAGCTCTGCATCATGGTTTCCTGTTAATGTTCTCTGTAGTACAGACCTTTAAACCACAGGCTGACCCAGGATGTTGCCCATTCCAGCCACATGTGAACATTCAAGCATCCTGGGCAAGGGAAATGCATTCTAATTTTTTAAAGATTTATTTATTTATTTATTTATTAAAGAGTTTATTTATTTGACAGATTGAGAGAGACAGAGAGAGCACAAGCAGGGGGAGCAGCAGAGGGAGAAGGAGAAGCAGGGGGAGCAGCAGAGGGAGAAGCAGCAGAGGGAGAAGCTCCCACTGAGCAGGGAGCCCGATGCGGGGCTCAATCCCAGGACCCTGGGACCATGACCTGAGCTGAAGGCAGACACTTAACGACTGAGCCACCCAGGCGCCCCAAGATTTATTTATTTTAGAGAGAGAGAATCCCAATTTTAACTTAATTAAGAATTAAGCACCTAAAAAAAAAAAAAAGGAAAATCTGCTCTTTCACATATTTTAAATACACACTGCTTTCTAACTTTAAATGCAAAGAGGTGTTTGTTTGTTTGTTTGTTTATTTTACTAATCATTAAAAAACAAAAGTTCCATGGATTTCACTAAGCACAAAGGCAGTTTGCTGGGATCGTGAGTTTGGTCAAAAGACATGGGTTCAAATCATGACTGGTAAGTCACTAGCTAGGGGACCTAGGGTAAGTTGCTAGACTCTCATCTTCAATCTTTGTCTCTATAAAATGAGCTGGTAGTGCTTCACATCAGGGTTGGAGGACAAAGCAAGATCATACACGTGGGAACCAGCACAGAGCTTGCCTGTCAGTAATGTGCGACCACATGTCACTCAGCTACCTGTTATTTGAGATGCCATGTCATCATCATTGTCCCCAGCTGCTGTCCCCTCCCCAAGCAGGGGAGGCCCCTTGCCCCTCCCAGTCTTGCAGGGACTGGGGGAGGGGTGGCTGGATAGGGCCACTGTGAGCGTCTGCTCCTCCCCTAAACCCATTCAGGGGTGGCCATCTCCCTCTCTTCTCTGTACCATCCCTATTCCACAGAGGGTCCCCGTATCTGGGCAATCAGTCCCCTTCCTTGGCTTCTCTAAACACCCTTTCCAGAAGGTACTGGTGGTGAGCAGGTGTTAACAAAGGCTTCCCACTTTGCAGGGTCTGAGGTCTGAGGTGCTTAGCCTCACCCCTTCGCCCACACCTCATGTTTCACCCCTTCTTACTTCCACTCCTCTGAGGTGGGTGAGAGGGTGTGGAGACATGAACCGATGCCCGATGCTGGGGTGGCGGTGTCTGTCTCTGTTTGACTGCTGTGGGGAGAGCGGGGACGTCCAAGTGCTCCCCCACCCAGTCTCCTGAAACAAAAGCATCTGAATCAAACGGCCTATTTTCTCCGAGTGGGGGTTGGGGTGTGGGGAGGACAATTTTTGATAGCATAACCGAACCGATACGAGCATATGAGATTGAAATAAAATCTGGTAATAAGATGGAAATGAGATCTAATAATCACATTGCTATTTGTTTTGGAAATGGAGATTTAAAAAATTAGCTCTGAACATCCTCTGGGGGAAAGACCTACCCCCCCTTTTTTTTTTTTTAATGTTTTGTTTATTTATTCATGAGAGTCAGAGAGAGAGAGAGAGGCAGAGGCAGAGGGAGAAGCAGACTCCCCGCTGAGCAGGGAGCCCGATGCGGGACTCGATCCCAGGACCCCGAGATCATGCCCTGAGCCGAAGGCAGACGCTTAACCATCTGAGCCACCCAGGCGCCCCAAGACCTACCCCTTGATGCCTGCTTAGTTGATACTCACATCTCCCAGGATGAAATCACTGAGTGGTGGGAACTAGGAACTAGTGGGACCTCCTCCCCTCACCCTACTGTGGATCAGGCAAGGAAGGTGGACAGGAGGTAAGGGTGGCTTCGGGATTCTGACCAAGACACGGTCCCCACCCCCCCCCCCCCCCAGCCCCTTAGAAAAAGTGGGCTGATTTCGGGAGCACTCCTGGGTCACTGATCTCTCCTGCTGCTAGGGGCGGGGCTCCCGGAGCAGCAGCTGAGACCTGCTCAGGCCCACAGGGCCTCCCCGGGGGTGTACTCTCCCTCCCACAAGGCAGTCAAACCCTGACAGCTCCCTCAGGGGAGGGTGAGCTGCCGGGCCCAGCAGAGCCGGGCTGACCCATTCTCTGTTCTCCGGTGCTGTCACAGGCCTCGGCTCTGGGCTGGACTGTGGCTGCTCGAAGGGCTCCGGAGTCCTTGGCAAGTGCCTACAGGACCAGGTGGATCAGGTGTGAGGCCTCAGCAGGCCCGGCAGCCCTGGCAGAGGAGAAAGGGCAAGCCTCTACAGGCTTCCTCAGGGTGGCATTTGCAGCAGGATGTGCCAATTGCGGGTCCAAGTATTTAGTGAAGAAATAGCCAGAGAAATCCTGTAGGGAATTCTGGCCGGGATGCTGGGGGCTGACAGGTTTGCAAGGAAGACACTCTGCCATTCTGCTATTCCTTCCTCCTCTTGGCCTATGGCCTCTGAATGGACCTTTTTGAGGGACCATCCCTCTTGAGAGAATGGGGATGGTGGTCAGTGCTTGAAGCTCTGGGACTTTCTCAATCCCGTTGGCCCAGGAGTAGGCCCCTCAAAAAGCCAGAAAATATAGCCACTAACCTGAGTTGGCAGAGGGAAGCCTTTGGCACTGGGCCATTTGTGCTGTGGTCAAAGGCCCTGATGAGCGGCTCAGGGCTCTGGAGGACAAAGGACTAACAGGAGGTAAGGCAGGGCATGTTGCCTGTTTTGGCCCCTATGTGTATTCGCTTGCTGTAGCTGCCATGACAAAACCATACACTGGGTGGCTTAAACAGAAATCTATTTCCTCATGGCTCTGGGGATTAGAAGTCTAAGATCATGGTGTCAGCAGGATCGGTTTCTTCTGAAGCCTCTCCCCATGTCTTCACATGATCTTCCCTCTGTGGTCGTCCGAGTCTTAACCTCCTCTTCTCGGAAAGGCACCAGTCAGATTGACTGAGGACCCATCCCGATGACCTCATTTCACCTTAGTTATCAATTGAAAGACCTTATCTCCAAATAGAGTCACATTCTGAGGTGCTGGAAGTTGGAATTTGAGGGGACACAATCCAGCCCATAACAGTCTATGTCAGGAGACTTTGTTAGTTTTATTATAGCGGGGAGACTTGTCTGACTCCTGAGAGGAGGTGCCGAAGATTGGGCTCAAGTCCCCCAGGGAGTTAAACAAATATTTACTTGGGTAGATGTGGGTTTTTATTGGATGGCCTGACCGGATGACTTACCACCCGCCTAAGACAATGAATTCTTAGTACTCCCCAACTCTAGACCTACTGGGGGCCTACTTGAGTGTCCTTGTGACTTAGGAGCCCTGGGCCCAATGTCAGCATCTTTCCTAGAGGCCGTCGTGGAAGACAGATTTCAATCCCTCAGCTAAAAACCAGCCCTATCCAAGCTTGCCGCCATGCAACTACATTTAGCTTCTAAACGGTGGGAGGTATAAAAGGTAGGGTTTTCTCTTTAGAGAACACACTCATACAGAATGCTAGTAATTCAAGGAGGGCAGAACTAGATGGTCTGGCAAATGGCACAGTAAATAGACAGCATTGTTGCCATAACTTCCCAGCCCACGCTCACAGCAGACATCACTAATCAATCAAGCACCACTGAGCTAACTAATCCTTCTCCATTCCAAGCATTAACACTAAACTAGAATTGGCACTCTGGATTAAAATCGTTTGCTCCCTGCATCACTCATGATATACGAATGGCACCTTCTCCCTTCTGCATGAAGAACCATGGCAACTTCAAGCAGTGGAATGGGCTTGTCAGAGGCATCATCCAGACAGGGTTGTGCCTGGACAGTCTTGCACCTGTGTTTGACATTTCTTCTCTACCACTGCAGATCGTCTTGGTCCCAGCCCTCACAATTCTGAATAGGTGCAACCAGACATTGCCTTGCTCCGAGCCTGTGTCTCCAAATCTCATTCGCTGCCCCAGAACCTCCTACATACTACAGCTGGGACTCCTTCAGGACTTCTCTTGGCCTTAAACATGCATAGTCCCTAAGTGTGACGGCATTGACATTTGTGGGGCCACCCTTGACCCGTGGGGGATAGAAGACACTAGAAAAGGCTTCTTTCTTTCATATCCCAAGACAGCTTTCAGGTGCATTTCATAAGGCTCCATAGAACATTCTGGAAGAATGGAGCATTAGTCACTTTCATAGTGCATCCTCGTATTAGCTTTCCCTGCTTCCCTGTTCTACACCCCAACCCTCATTCCTCACCCCCTATCAGCTACCAGCACCCAGATATTTGTCTCAGATTGCGTCTGGGTGGAGGAAGAATCCCTGGCTCCCCCTTATGCTCTTCCCCTCCCGGCATCCTCCGGGCCTGACAGTCATTTCTCTCTTAAATCAACTACCACTTATATCCATATAGTGCCGTGTGGGTGGCAAGGGACATTCCCAAGCATGGTCTCATGTTGAGCTGCATGGTGAATTTCAGGGTGAAGATGATGAAATTCAAGTTCAAGGTCCTGCGGAGGGTCGCACAGCCAGTAAATGGTCAAGTTTAAAGGCTAACCCAGTTCTCTAACTCCAGCCCACTCTGCCACGGCTGCCCCCACATCAGGCTCTCTCAATGGCAGCCCTAGCAGGAAGTGCCTCTGATTGCCAAGCTTTCAAATCTTTCGTGGCCACAAATTTTGCGGTGACGGAAACTGAAGAGCTCTTCTGTCCATGCCCTCTCTTTGCAGAAGTAAACATGTCCTCGTCGTCCTCGGGGCCACGCTGTTCTTGGCATCTTTCACCGCCACAGCTCTGCTCACACTGGCTTATAGCCTTCCGGTCGCAGCTCCGTCAGAAGCAAGGTAACCCGCAGTTCCCAGCCTGCTGCTCTCGGCTTGCCTGCCCTCCGAACGGCCAGGACCTCCCAGGGAGGGCCGCTCAATGAGTGCCAGGCTCTTTGCGCTGTGTGCATTGGCTCGTGGAAAAACTGGGTGGGAAACGTTAAGCCTGGATGGGAAAATTGATTGCGTTTTTGTTTCCAAACTTCCGAACCTTTCAACTTGCGCTGGGGCGGGGCGGGGGGGGGGGTTGGGGAGCGGTCTTCTCTGAAAGTACGGGGAACACACACGGCTGCCCATTGAAATGCTTCTTGGAGGAGAGGAGCGCCCCCACGTGGCCGTATTGGGTTTCTCCTTCAGTGGCGAACTTGTGCTTGGAAGCTCTTTATTATTGGCCGGAGAGATGGAAATTTAAGGAAGTTGGGGTTATCCCTTGAAAGTCACAGGGCCAGTAAGTGGCACAGGTGTGAGTGGAAGCTAGGATCCTAACCACTATGCTCTTTTGCCTCCCCAGTGAGGTATAGATAACGATTCTTCCTTATAACCACCCTGTGTATCACATGGGGAGAAGTGGTTCGATTTCCTGCTAATCCCTTCCCAGTGCAGCAGGCAGACTGATACAAATGGCAATCAGATCCTTGCAGCAGGCAGAATGATACAAATGGCAATCAGATCCTGTCAGTCACCTTCTCAAATTCCTCGCGTAGCTGCCCAGTGCTCTCAGAGTAAAATCCCTGTCTATCAATCACTCGCCTATGTGCTGGCTCTGGACCAGCCACACTGGCCTTCTTACCTCCACGCACCCAGCATGCTCCCTCCTCAGGCCTTTGCACTTGCTGTTCCCTCACACTAGAATGCTTTTCCTTTAGAATCCAGATCTTGGCAGAGCTTTCCTACAGGTGTCAGTGCAAATGTCATTTCTCAGAGCGGCCTTCACTGACCTCCCGATGTAAAATAGCCCTGAGCCATGTCTGGCACAGTGCTCACTATGTATTTGTGAGGGGAATGGAAGAATGAATGCATGCACAAATGAATGAAGACACCTCAGGTTTTTTGATCAGGGGAGCATCATGCCCTTCCCATCATGTCCTCGTTTTCTGTGGGTACTGCCAGGTGACTGAGGAAGAAGCTCATTCCCGTCTAGCCCAGCAGTTCTCAATTCTGGAAGCACATGAGACTCACTTGGGGAGCTTTTAAATCCAAGGATGCTTCCAGCAAGCACCATCTCAGACCCCTTGAATCACAATCTCCAGGGACGTGGCCCAAGCAACCAAATTCTGTAAGAGCTTCCACGACGAGGTTCACTCCTGAGAACCAGATTTTTAGAACTATCCTGATGTACCAGCTACCAGAAACAACTATTTAAAAGGAACACGGTCGTCATACTTCCTCAGGATCCAGGGTGGAGGGGCCCAAGGGAATTTGGAATTTTAGCAAGACAGCTATGGTCTAAGGCGTTACGGTTTGTGGATCATTAGTGAGGAAATGAACAAGTGTGCCCCACATTTTCTTTTGGACTTGGCTGATTGCACCAATGGACATCTGAGAGATTCCTTTTTTCAGGTCCAAATCAAACAGACCCTTTTGCCTTCTGTTCTTGTGTTTTCTAGTGAAAATGTGACTGTGTTGTATTTCTCGGAGTATTACACTAAGCCCTACTGCAGATACGGGCCATTCCTCGTGGGCCTCTTTCTGAGCATTTTCATGCACCAAAACCACCAGGCAAACATTCTTAAAACCAAGGTAAGCTTGCCCCATTCCTCACTGTAAGGGCTGGGTCTCCTTGGGACTGGAGTGGCCCATTTGGCTAGGCTCGTCGAAAGCCATGGGCAGGGATCAGACTGCTCAGTACTTTATTGGGCTGTAGTGTGTTAGCAATGTTTCTTGGTGCTAGAGAATAAGAGAGACCTTATCTTCTTGCCAGAGCCTGATTCTCTGCTTTCCTCACTGAGTGCCTTTAAGAAAGCTCCAGAAGTGAAACGCAGTGGTGTTCGATCCATTGGAGTCTTGGTACAAACCCAGAGGACTCACTGATATGTGAAAAACACACCCAGTGAGTTTTTGCACTGGCAAAGCACTCTTCCGGAAGGGCATGGTTACTTTTTAGTAGCACAAGCTCCTTGGTTTCTATAGACAGGATTCTTGGTCAGATTCAATGGCTCCATCTGGGCATCAAGACACAAGGTGTCTAAGGGGAAAGAAGCTGTCACTTTGTCTTCCAGGTAAAATTGCTTCCCTGGCTCCTTTGTGGGTAATCATTCTGGTTCGCCATCCAACCTCATTACTCAAGCCGGAAGCCTGTGTTCATCGTTGACACTTCCTCCTCATTGACCCCTCCTCCCAGGCAATCCTTCACCAAGCCCCCTGTTGTTTCTTTGGCTGTCCTCTTAGCCTATCCAACTAACCGCACTGAAGCTCTTCTCATCTCTTGCCTGGACTTCTTGTCTTGTCCCTCTCAAATCTACCCTTGGGGCAATCTATTTAAAATACTACGTTGGTGTTGCCCTTGAACTGTGCAAAAGCTCTTCATACGGCTTTCATTGACCCATAAGACCTTGAGGGTAGACTATGTCTTACCTCTGAATCCCCAACATCTGGTTCTGAAATCACTGAAGGCACTTAATAGATGAATGAATGAAAGATAATGTGCTTTTCAATGGACGAAGGGCCAAGAACTCCTTTGCACTATTAGGGTACAGTGATAGCCCCAAATCTTCTCTGCTAAACCCTACCTTTGTTTGCCTAGGTCTTGTGGGTACCTCACCTAGATGCTCCAGAGAAGAGGCCCCTGTCTTTGGAAAAAGTTGTGTTGTTCACGGTAGCAACAGGAGGAGATAGGGCTTCACTAGACGGAATGGATGTACAAGGGCTACATGACTTTTCCTGTAGGTTGGAGTTTCCCCTAAAAATGCACAATTCAGTTGTAGATTACAGCAGAGTGCCATTAAAGAGGTGCTTTGGTGTCATCCAGGTTCCAGGGTGCCCAGGGAGCAGAGGGTAAACCTGAGATGATGACAGAGCGTGTGCGAACACTCCAGGGGTTGAGTCAGGACCAGGGAGTATGGAGCCAGAACACAGGTCAAGCTGAGCTGGAGAAACAAGGAAGGGATGGGTAGACCAAAATTAAACCTCTAGAAGCCAGAAAATAAGAACACAGAGTCCAAGCTTGAGGCAGCTGGGGCCAATGCCCTATGCTGGGAATGAGATGAGGTAGGGTGCATTATCAGTGAAAGAGTGAAGGGAATCCTAGCCTAAAAGAGGGGGCTTGTGGAGACCCCCCAAGGAAATGCCTTTACTCCCATGTAGCCAGAGCCTAGCGCAGGAATCTGAGGCCAAGGAGGGGAGAGCTTCTCTTTAGAGACTAGACAGTAGACTGATAAGATGCTAGTTCAGTCATCATAGCAACTTGGGAACTGGAACAGAGAAGCAAGAGAGATTCTTGGAAGACAGGTGTGGGTCTAAAAAGGTCAAGTGAGGTGACATAAGATCTAAGATCTTGAACTGAACCCAATAATAGAATTTAACCCATGGGGCTCTTCTCTGAGCTGGAAAGTTCTCCATTCTCCCATTCCTGCTGCCATTTTATGACCCCCATGACTAGGGTGCAGCCCAGGTACAGACCTGTGCCAAAAGCCCTTGCATTGTTGGTGGGGCACAGAACCAATCCAGGAGCCTTATTAGGTTAAGGAACAGAATGGGAGGTCAGGAGTGGGTTAGAACATTATCTTTTCTTTTTTCCCTTCTAACTTTCATTTAATAGTTATTTGAGATTCACAGCAAGTTGCAAAAATAGTGCAGAAGGTCTTGTGTACCCTTGACCCAGGTTCTTTCACTGGTAACATGCAACCAAGAAATTGACATTGGAACAATCTATAGGTCTTGGAGCCACCAGTTTTATGTGCACTCAGTTGTGTGTGTATATAGTTTTGTGCAATTTTAGCACATGGAGAGTGGTGTAACCACTACCACAAGCAAGGTACACGACTCTGCTGTCACCACAATGATCTCCCTTGTGCTGACTCTTTATGGTCACGCCGCCCACTCTCCCCTACTCCACCCCAACCCTAGCCCCTCATAACCACGAGTCTGAACCTTCTCTTTTAGTCAAAGTTGGGCACCGATGGAGGTCTACAAATAGATACCCGAAGTGACACTAATAAGAGAAAAACTGAATTAGTGCAAAAGGAAGTAAATATGCCATGTCCACAATGGGCTTGACCCACGTCTCTCCTTTCTCCGTAGGTGCAGGCCATGCTGGGGTGGATTTGCTCCCTGTCTACTCTGTTCATAGTGGTCGCCCTGGCGTACGTGGTGGATGACAGCCCTGCCACCTCTTTGCCTGCCGCTGCTCTGTACCAGGCCCTCCACCGGACCCTGTGGGCGGCAGCTGTGGGCTGGATCATGCTGGCATGTCGGGAAGGCTATGGAGGTACGATGCGGCACAGGCTGTTGCCCATGGGCTCACGCCGTGTCCCTTTAAAGGCGACAAACGTGAAAACATGGCGTACACAGAGGAGCTTTTTTATTTGCTGGAGTGGTTGGTGAATGACTGATATTGACTCAAAAACAGCAACTTGTTTATGTCGTGGGGGAGAACTGCCCGCATATTCTGTTTTAGATTTTTACCCTGGTTTATGTACAAATGCAGGTTCTGAAAGAAAAATCTGCAGCCTTTCCAATGAAGCTAGTTTAGAAGCTAGAGGAGGAAGACAGAGTCACGTAGTAAGAACGAAATACCAGTGCTGGAGACAAAAGTTCTGGTCACACTCACCCTGGGCCTCAGTTTCCTCGCCTAAGGGTATATAGACCGAGTAATTCCCAAGATCCCCTCAGCCCTTTGCTAAGCAGAGAAACTGTCTCTACTGAGTCCGGCTGTCAATGTGTGGGAAAGTCAAGCAGACGGGGCTTAAATGGAAAGAGATTTTCTCCAGATTAGAAATGTCTAGTTGTAGAAAAATTAAGTCAGCAAAGAACACAGGTAAACCAAACACAAAAGAACATTCCTAAAGCAAACATGTTTGCTGTTCATGTTGCGAGCTACAATTTGGCTCCAGTCAACTACTAATCACATTAAATTAATGTTGTTAATTCAGATATTATTGGTTTTATAGTTTTATGGTCACTCTATTATCCTTTTTTAAGATTTTATTTTTAAGTAATCTCCACACCCAACCTGGGGCTCGAACTCACAACACCAAGATCAAGAGTCACACATTCTACCAACTGAGGAAAGTGGTAGTCAGTTCATGCAGGGTCTTCACAGCCATGGGGAAAAATCTGGATTTTATTTTAAATGTCATGTAACATCATCTGACCTGTGATTTAAAAGATCACTTTAGATGTTGCATGAGGATGGTAGGACAGCAAGAAGGAGAGCAGAGGGACCAACAGATCTGTTTGGAAGCTACTGTAGCAGTCCGTGGAGGAGGAATCCATGGTGGATTCGATGAGGGGGTTCACGGAGGAGATGGGGAGAAAGGGTTCAGTTTGAGATAGTTTTAAGGATAGATTGGCAGCACCCTGTGGGATATGGGAGAAAGAACAGAATCTGGGATGGCACCAAAGATTTTGTCCTGAGCAATTGAAACAACTCGAGATGAGGTTCATGGAAAGGAGAGACAAGTTTTTTCTTTTTCTTTTATGTTTTCTTTTCTTTTCTCTCTCTCTCTCTCGCTTTCCCTCTTTCTTTCTTTTTTTTATTATTTATTTTCTTTTTTAAAGATTGTATTTATTTATTTGAGAGAGAGAATGAGAGAGAGAGAG